AGTCAACAAGGGGTCTTTATACATGTCTGAAAAACAGAACGTGAATTTCTTAATGTATTAGGTAAATTTACTACTTTCAAATATTTTTAAGTATGAAAATCTGTGCTTAATGTACTTATATACTTTTCAACTTTTTTTCTTTTTGAAAACTTGACGACATGATGATTATTGCTCATTTGGAAGCATTTTTCTTTATAGTTTTTCAAGAAATTGAGTACAGGTTTACACTAAAGAGCTTAAAGCTAGCAACTTAGGTAACTCACCTAGCTTCTCCATACTAAATGAGTTTTTCAATTTTTCAATCTTCAAAGACTTACCATGGATACAGAAATACATCTGTAAAGATTGTGGCTCATTAGGGTTGGTTTAAATTACAAATGAAACGTACTTTAATGTGAAAAAAAAATTAATCCAACTACCCTAAACCAGTTACTCATGAGCTCCTATCAGTTGAAGCCTATATGGTGCCCTTTCCAACAATCTTTTACAGTTTTATTTTGGGATTTTTTTAGTTAATTTAGGCTGCATATCACAATATCTGTCAATGTAAATATTTTTGCAGTAAAATATTTTACACAAGCACTAGTATTGTTCTTGACAGCACTAACAAGATCCCATTTTATATATTAGACATCTTAGACAGTATGAAAAATTGTTTGTTTTTCTTGTGGTCTGGGTATCTTGTATGTGGGAGCATTTCCAACCTGTGATCTTAATGAGGTAATACCTCTGCTTGAAATCTCCATAGAGGATCCTGTTGGGGAAACCCTTTCTGCAGATCCTGATGCCTTCCAGCACACCGTTACAGCGCAGCTGGTGCATCACCAGGGGGTTCTCCATGGCCCCTGGAGTCTTGGTCTCGTTGGGGATGATGCAGCGTACAAAGTGAGGGTGAGTCGACCTCAAGTTGGTCATCAGCTTGTTCAGGTTCTCCTTTAATGAGGTAAAACAGATATTTAGAAATACTAATGATAGTTGCACGTAAAAACCATTTAGTCCAAGAAATATAAAATATAAGCAGTACCCTGTGAAGAGCAGACACTGTCTGAAAGGAGGATCCTTTTTTCTTCTTCTCTTTTTTTCCCTCGACAGCTTCAGACATAACTGTTGAGAAAATATGTGTTGTTAGTACTAGACAAGAAACCCTACAAATATCTTCAAACTAGATATTCATCCAGGTGTACCTGAGTCTGCTCCTGCATAATTTGCAAACAGAGTTGCAAGAAGTTTGAGGGTAGACTTTTGGTACAATGCCACAACAGTCTCATTCAGAGGATCCTTGTTCTTCACCAACCAGTTGTTGATATTATAATCAACAGTTCCAGCATAGTGAACCAGGGCAAAATGAGCCTCTGGTTTTCCTTTGACAACTCTGGGCTTCTGGAAGTTGCCGGATTTCCCCAGGTGGTTGTCATAGAGCTTAGCTTTAAAGGTAGCATCACTGGCTTTGGGGAACATGCACTCCTCTTCAAGGATGGACATGATACCCATGGGCTGCAATTTATGAGTGAAAAGGCAAAATATGAGTGTTTTTTTTTTTAAATACCATATTTGAGCTGAACATGTAATAGTTCAGGGTCTCACCTTTTCAATCAGGTCGATACAGGCCTGCAGATCCATGCCAAAGTCAATGAAAGTCCATTCGATGCCCTCTTTCTTGTACTCTTCCTGCTCCAGTACAAACATGTGGTGGTTGAAAAACTGTTGCAGTTTTTCGTTGGTGAAGTTGATGCACAGCTGCTCAAAGGTGTTGAACTGTAAATAAAGAAAGAAAGAAAATGTATTCAATTTTAATCTTTCTGTACATTGTTGTTGTGTTGTTGTGTGTTGTATGTTGGGAGAGATGCAGTTTACTGTGATTACTCACATCAAAGATTTCAAATCCGGCAATGTCCAGCACCCCTATGAAGTACTGGCGAGGCTGCCTGGTCTCCAGTGACTGGTTGATTCGCATTACCATCCACAGGAACATCTTCTCATAAACAGCTTTTGATAGAGCACCAACAGCATAGTTCACCTGTGGAATGGGAACACAAGGAATATACAAGAAGCCACAAAGCAAGGAGGGTGTATTCCTCATTTTTGAATCTAAATCTAACCATTTAAAGATAACTGTATTGAAATATGCCTTCTCTTATTCTCTGACCTGGGCGACATTTTGTCCTTTGGTGACCCACTCGTTTCCTACTTTGACTCTTGGGTGACAGAGACCTTTGATGAGGTCGGCAGAGTTCAGGCACATCAGATATGCAACTTTGTCCGCATCTGAAGAAAAAATAGAATATTTTGATTGGTTTGATTCTGTGCCAAAGTGCCAAACAGAACCACACTGTACCTTCAGTGCCATCAGCCTCTGCCTGCTCCTCTCGCTGCTTCTGCTTGAATTTCATGTTACCATGGTGCATGATGGCACCAGTCAGCTTGTACACAGAGTTCTTTTCCTCTTGCGTAAAGCCCAACACATCAAAGGCACTCTGTAGAACAGCATACAAAAATGTTTCAACATCCTTAAAGTGAAAATATCACTTTAAGTAATCGGTCCAAAACTTCTACGGTGCTCTATTAGACCAACACGTGGACTTATTAAATGAGAGGTTATAAAATAGCAATAAGTGAGAGCCTGACATCTGTTGCCATGAGTTCCTCAGCGTCATCAATGGAGGCCACTTGGGTTTCCCCCTGTGAGATGAAGGCATAGTCATAGGGATTATTGGTGATCAGCAGCATCTCTGGAAGACACACGAATGAATGAAAAAAGGTGATAAAGGTGGGCATGTGACAATATAGAACCTATGTTTTATATCTTTCTTTATACCGTTCCATGCACTAACCCAAGAGTTCAGGCTTTTTGTTGGACAGAATCTGGTAGAAGATGTGGTAATCTCTCTCTGCCTTGAGCTGGAAGATCACACGAGACTTCTCCAGAAGGTCTGACAAACGTGAAGTAGAAGGTATTTGTGTTAAATATACTGTGTGACTGTTTGACAAAATAAATATTATATAAGTGTTGAAAGAATGTTTGTTCTTACATGTTTCAATATCAGCAGAGGCTACTTTTCCCCTGGTATCAAAGTGAATTCGGATAAATTTACCCTGAAAAGATCATATTTGCATTTAAAAACATTCCTCTTACTGACTAATTCCATAGAAACATGATATTCACAATACTCATGGTTCAGTTGTAAAAATATTTGGCACTCACAAATCTAGAGGAGTTGTCATTCCTAATGGTCTTGGCATTGCCAAAGGCCTCCAGAGCAGGGTTAGCCTGGATAATTTGATCCTCCAGGGTGCCCTGTCATAAAGGAACACTGTGGTTGTTAAATGTGTGAATATTTAGAGGTTATCTCTTTTTTCTGTGTTTTCTTTTTAAATTAAGAATCTCTTTACTAGTAGATTATATGAAATCAGGAGAAACGTTTGTAGTCTTTGCAGGTCTTAAGCCATCATCATTGATGAGAAGCAATCCAAGCCTGTCACCCTGGTTAAAAGTGAAAAATTCTTTTGGTTACTGTCAATTAGAATATCTATTTCTCTACTTGTTTTCCATGGTTACCCTGAAGAACAATTTAAAAAAGCCTAACATGTTTTGCTAACATAGTGTTTGAGGTACTTTGCATTTGCATTGATGAGCTCTTGGACCTAAGACAGAGTTTACTACTTACCTTGTCCTTGACACTTGCTTCCTTCTTAACACTTCCAGCCGCAATACTTGCAAAATACTGGATTACTCGCTTTGTGTTGACAGTCTTTCCTGCACCAGATTCTCCACTGCAATTGCAAAGTCACTCATCAATACGTAAATGCACCATATTGTAGAATAATGTTGTGTTGTGTATCCAAGACTTTACATACGTGATCAGAATTGACTGGTTTTCACGGTCTGCAAAAAAGTACGTTTGCAAAGGTTATGTCAGTATATGTCCCAAAACTTAAACCAAACTGTATCTTATTTATTTATTTATTTATAAGCCTTTATTTAACCAGGAAAATCCCATTGAGATTAAAAACTAGGCAGCAGCAGGTGTCTCACAGTTACAGAAATTACTCAAACACAGGCAGCAACAACACACATGCAACAATAAGTGAAAGAATACAAATAAAATAAAATTAAATTAAATTAAATTCAAATAAAAATAAATAAAGAAATAAAGAAATTGTTAAAATGACAATCAATCTAATTGAAACAGTTGCATGTTATGGACTTGGCCTCAAGCATTCGTAGTTTAGATTTAAAAGCACCTATTAATTAAAGTATCTATTAATATCCATCTGTACCTGCCAGCATGTACTGGTAGGCATTGTCAGAGATGGAGAAGATATGAGGAGGAGCTTCACTCCTCTTCTTTCCTCTGTAGGCAAGAACCACCTCCTGATTGTAGACTGGCAGCCATTTGTAGGGGTTGACAGTCACGCAGAACAACCCAGAGTAGGTCTGAGAATATAAAGAAAACCATTGCTGTTAAGGCATAAATGCATTTCTATTTCTAATTTAGAACTTTGTGTTTGGATTTGCTTCAGGCTTTGGACATGCCGCTCATTTGATGGTAACTCCTAGAACATTGTTGTGTCTAGATTCAAGATTCAAGGTCTTTATTGTCAATGCAGTGTGCTAAAATGCCACTTCACCCCAAGCCACCCGTGGTGCATTTATAAGAATATAAAAAACATATCTCCAACAAATATGAGACTAGAAATTACAAATAAGTAATAACTCGCTAAATTTGGGTAAAGTTAAGAGATAAAAAGTACTATTACTAACTATATCTGTGTGCAATAAACAAAGACAGGACAGAGGCAATATGAAGTGGCCATGTGCAATTAC